CTCTTTGCGGTATATTCCCAGTAGTGGAATTGCTGGGTCAAATGGTATCTCTATTTGCAAATTTTTGAGACGACACCATACCGCCTTCCACAGTGGTTGCACCATTTTACATTCCCACCAACAGTGAATAAGGGTTCCAGTTTCTCTACAACCTCGCTAGCATTTGTTGCTTGCTGTTCTGTTAAATTTTGCAATTCTGACTGGGGTGAGATGATATCTCATAGTTTTTTTTTATTTGCATCTCTCTTAGAGCTAGGGATTTGAACATTTCTTCATGTGCTTGTTAGTCATCTGAATGTCTTCTTTGGTGACGTGTCTGTTCATATCCTGTGCCCATTTTTCAAATGGATTGTTTACCTTTATCTTGTTGTGGTGATTTACATCTCTCTTATTGCCAGTGATTTTGAGTATTTCTTCATGTGTCTATCGGCCATCCAAATATCTTCCTCTGTGAAAAATTTTTTCCATGTCTTTCGTCCATTTTGCAATTGTGTTACCAGTCTTTTTCTCGTGGAAGCCCTGTAGGATTTTTTAAACTGTTGATATGAGACCCTTTTCTGAGATGGAATTGCCAAATGTTTTTTTCCCAGTCGGTAGGTTTTCTTTACACTCTGGGAAAAGTTTTTTATACACACAGGGATTTAATCTTTAGAAGGTCCTATTCATCAATTTTATCAATTTCAGATTGTGCATTTCTGGCTGTATTTGCCAGTCTCTTTATACCATAGACTAGGCTGTCTAAGCTTCATCCCAGTTTGTCTCTGATGAACGCTATGGTTTTGGGCTTTAGTCTCAGGTCTCTGATCCACCTTGAGTTGATTTTTGTGTATGGTGTGAGATAGGGATCCTGTTTCTGCTTTCTGCAGGAAGCAGACCAATTTTGCCAGCATCATTTGTTGAAGAGGTTGTCATTTCCCCATTTGGTAGGGTTTATTTCTTTGTTGAATATCAGTTGACCATAGATAGCTGGGCCCATTTATGGGTTCTCAATCCTGTTCCATTATTGGTCTGTGTGCCTGTCATTGTACCAGTCCCTTCCTGTTTAGGTTTACTATTGCTGTGTAATAGTTTCTGAGGTCAGGGAGTGCTATGCCTCCTACTTCATTTGTTGTTGCAGACCGAGGGTCCCAAAGAATGAAATAATTTTATAATTATTAATAATGAGACAGACTACCAGGAATGATGTAGAACAGAGAGTGTGAAAAACAGGGGGCCAACAGTTCCCATGACTGAAGGCCCCAAGCCATGTTTCTCTGAGTATTTATTTAGAATCATAAGGAAGGTAAGCAAAGTA